ACCATATTTTAACGTCTTTGGTATGACGCGGCCGGGGATCGAACCCGCGACCTTCCGTTCCTCCGGGCGGACGCTCTAACCACTACACCACGGAGGCGGTTGGAAATCGTCCGGATAGCGAGGCGCCCGGTTAACTGGATCAAACAAGCAAAACGTACTGACGATGTATATCGAAAACGTATTCACGTGCATGTATGTATATCAATAAATCAATAGTCAATAGTAAAAACAATGAATCACAACCTATAAATACACCACCAATAAACATTCTTTCAACACGTTGACACACATTATACATCTTACTTCACATCTTTACATTTCCCACGTAGCACATTATTTCTGTGATAGGTGTTTTGTTTTCTTGGTTTGATTTCTTCCAGTTTCTTCACTAAGTCCATCACTAAATTCACAGAACCTTCGTCGCCATTACATTCGTAGAAAGTCAGCAAACTGTTTGCCTGTTCAAAAGCTTGTGTTACTGTTTGATATCATCAGGCTCGTAATTCTTGAGCACTGATTTCAACTCTTCTCTCCCTTTTGAAATTGCCGGTTTATTTGAACTAGCTGCTTCGCCCTGATAGTTTTTCTTGGAGAGAGAGAAACGAGATTTGAAACGTGACAGCCAACCACCTGAATAGGAAACATCCGAAAAGCTAAGTTGTGTGCCAAACAATTCCGCTTTCTGAACAATCATTGCATTATTTACTGTAATTAGAGTTACAAGTAATATATCAGTTGTAATGAGATATACAAATAATTTCATTTTATTGATAACCATCCAGAATTAAGCATACTCCATGGTCATGTTAGAAATGGAATTAAAGAATTCGAAATACTTTTACAGCATAGATTCTTTTAAAAAAAACTAACTCTTTAGATGATCGTGAAAAATACGATTGTATTCACAGCAACACAAACATGAAATATGAACCAGATGAGGTATTATTGAGAATGGGCGCATGTTTTGTAATGGCAAGGATTGAGCCCAACAAAGCAGGATATGTATTCATTATATCACTGAACAATTGTAGTTATGTCCGGCTGTTTCTGGTTACTATGGCTACAGTTTCATCACTCCGTCCATGACAAAGACAGCTTTACCCAGAAGTTCCACCCGGTCACCTCTCAGCTTGACCACGATCTCCCCACCGCGTGCAGAACACTGCCTCGCTACAAGAAAGAAGATTGTTTTGAAATTTGGTTTAATTGTTACAAGGCGGCGACCAGGATAGCCTGTCTCACAGTCCCTCAACCACATTATTTTCCCTACTGCCAAGCCCTCTCTGCAATGCTAAAGCCCTAAATACAGCAAGTCTAGATTTCCTCAGGTTCAGGTTCTGAATCTCTGGTCTCCCTGGGGCTCCTTTTCAATATAAATGGGCTTGTTTGTTACTATCAAAATTACATATATTCTGAGACTAAGCATTAGTCTACGAACAGGACTGCAATGCTGGTAACAGTGCATTCACCTACTTATATTATCCCCCTCGTAAGGGACAGTTTACAGATTACCTATGTAATACACTACTAGCTGCAGAGGCATTACCACGGTTACTTAAATCTTCCAGGCCAGAGGACAAAATGTGTCATGTAATCTATCCGTAGTAGATGGTCGAAGGACCAAATGTGTCACTTAAATCTTTCAGCTGTATCTGGTCGAAGGACCAAAGGTGTCATTGAGTGAAGGCGCTGGGCTTAACAACCCTTTCAGCAGATATTGTTATATCACTACGCTCAGCTGGAGGGAAAGTGCCCTATGTCGTACACACCTATCACGTCAGTGAAGGCAACGAGCATCTGTATAGAGCTGGGGAAATTATGTTTCATACCAAAATATGGATGATTCGGGTAATTTGCCAAACATATGAGGAAAACGGCGTGTCATGATATTCATACCACTAGTTTGTAACATGTTCATACTTATGTCACAAAGTATTAAGGAAGATTGATTATGTTTATAGCCCCGTGTATTTCAGTATGCTTTTTGAAGTATTATTTTGTCTTTAGTGCTTATTTACTGACGTCACAGTGGATCCGGTTTCCCCTTAAACCCAAAGCGTTTCACCCTGGAAATGAACTCGTAACGCAATATACATGAAGTAAAAAACACACGTCACATGCAAGAAGGTATCCCTAGATCTTCTCTTACTAGTCAAGGTATCCTATAACATAAATTAAATCTTACATTTCACTTAAACAAACTTACTAAAGAAATCATTCTTTCCTAACTGTTGTGCCCAGTAATGCGCAAGAACTGTCTGCGCAGATCCGGTGACAGGGTCTTCGGGTACATCGTCCCAAGGTACAAAACAACGGGAAACAAAATCGTAGGAGGCGCCACCGTCACTCTGGTAACCATCACCGGGAGGCCCTCTGGTGGTGACAATGACAAGAACCACTCTATCGGTTGATCTCTTCATGGCCGATATATCGGGCGTCCAGGACTCAAATTCTTCTCTGTGATGATAGAAAATAAACCATTCACCGCTCTATATTTTCTAAATCTTCTTTTAGTCAGTTCACGAGGGTTGAGCATCCGTTTCATATACATAGATATTATAAAAAACCAAGAATATTCTTCTTCTTCAAAGTTATCAGAAAATTATAACAGTAAGAAAATGACATTCCATGAAGTTATCTTTCTGTTGGTTACAACACAGGCAGGCATGGACATGGTCGACAAGAGGTATAATGTTTGCTAAGAAGGAATACATTACCTGGACCATCCGTCATGAAGTCGTACAAGTAAATAACGCAGGGAATCGCAGTAGACGATGTCGCTCACGCCCGATACATCCCCTAACGACTGAAGTGAACAAGTGAGCACATATTGTCTAGTTAATGTTGTTAGTGCATGCGAAAGCTGTGTGACCTATCAAACAATAATGTTTCATGATTGTGTCAACATTAATCTACTGTATAAACTCCGTTTAATGTGTGTTGCATGCTGGTGTTGGACTCTGCATCGCATTAATGTCGATATGGACACTGATCGTCCTGTTGATGCTTGACATCCCACAATCAATATAAATGAACAATGTCTGGAAAAAGATTTATAAAGAAGAATACATACCGCTACTAACTGCTCATGTTGACTTTGATCCTGAAAAAAACCAGACAAATCTTCATACCTCAGAACAGAAATAGAAAGTTACTAAGCATCTCGGCGAAATTTGATCCCATTTATAACCATTAAGCATCTACACCATCAACTTTAGCCTATTTCGCTAAACTACACCCACTTTGGCCTGTTTCAGTAAAGTGAGTGAGTGAGTTTGGTATTACACCGCTTTTAGCAATATTCCAGGGGGACACCAGAGTCTGGCTTCACACATTGTACCCATGTGAGGAATCGAACCCGGGTCTTCAGCGTGACACCAAATGTTTGCCCTATAAATACCTGTTCGAAGTATCCAAAATGAAGCTGATGTTCTTGAGTGATTTATAGCAATCCCAACCTCATGTCAACACTGACCGTTCTAGTCAGAGCATTCTATATATAGCTAGACGCTAATTATGCTGAATGTGCGAGACTTAATATTAAGTACACTGGAGATTCTGCGTTCATCAGATATCAAAAATAATATGTTAGGGGAATGGCTGTCAAGGCTTTCTCAGCAGTCTGTATAATTACATACTAAATTAATTCGCCTATCGTGGGTGCGAATCTCGGATTCATCTTCATTACGATCATTTGCTTGCCAACATGAGAACCGTGGTCGTGTTTTTCACACTTCCGGTATGATGTTGACATCAACAGCTTGCGCCCCTTCATGTGTCCCTCGCAGGAATTCCAGGGGCGGATCCAGGATTTTGGAGAAGTGGGGGTGCACATAACTCATGACGTCCAAAGGTGAGGGAGGAATGCTCTTCAGCGAATTTCTCTGGATGCGCCTCCTGAATTCTCTCACGCCTTGATACAACAAATGCTACTGAAAGTGGCGTTAACTCTAACTCATCCACATGTGATCTCGATGTTGGACCTTGCAGATCATAATACGAAGATACCACAATCAGAGACCATATATGGTCTCTGCCACAGTGTATCCAACCCACCTCTGTCACAGCGGCGCCAACGGGGAAATCCATGTGGATCCACTCCCCCTCACGTTTAACAATCAAATCCCCACTCAGAGTCTTAAACACGATACGATCCTGCTTGTTGTCTGAATAAATAAAATATGGTTGATTTTGATTTTGAGTATGTCCTGTTGACGAGCAGTTATATAAACTAGACATCTAGTCTCTGAACCTAAGGAGGGACGGAGAGACTACTTTCTCCATTTACGAACTTGCTAAATATTATAGATCAGCATGGGATGTATTCGATATGTTTGTTCCAGGCGCTGTAAGACAGACTAAGCTGAAGTATACACTTAGAAATATTGCTTAATCAGTTCATATCCCTGTGAAGATCTGCATTTCTCCTAGGCCTATTCCGGCTTCCTTCGGCCAATCTCACCCTTGCCAATTGAAAATATTTCCATCCCGTGAAGATCCGGGTTTGAATTGGTCTTCAGCAACTCATGCTTGTAGTAAGAGGCGACTAACGGGATCGGGTGGTCAGGCTCGCTGACCTGGTTGACACATGTCATCGTATCCCATCTGCGTAGATCGATGATCACGCTGTTGATCACTGGAATGTCTGGTCCAGACTCGATTATTTACAAACCGCCGCCATATAGCTGGAACATTGCTGAATGCTGCGTAAAACTTAACTCACTCAGTTACTCATACGGGGACGTTTCAGAATTCATGTTTTTACTCACCCAATTTTCCAAACAAAACAGCTGCTGATGCCAATGTAGCATGGCCGCACAATTTGAATTCTTCTTTTGTAGTGAACCACCTCAAACCAAACGTATTACCTGTCAAGACAGGTAATAATGCACTCAATTATCGATTTTGTTGAATCGACAATGCGACCATTACCGTGTTAGTATGTCCAGGGACATGCGAAGGGATAAAACCTAATGAAAAGGTTATTTTTGTCATGCTAGTCCACTTCCAACATCAGAATGCCCCTTTGTCGTTCCTGGTGTTTCAATCACTCATTTGCCAAGCTTGGCCGTCGTGAAAGAATTGAAATATTGACAATCACACTCGAGCTCTACTCATCTACTTAATGAGATCTTGTCAAGAATAAGTTATAAGTACACCGTGGTAAGAGAATATATGCGTATAAAATACAATCTAGTTTAATGGAAGTCTCAACAAATTCATCGTCAAAGAAATCAAATATCCCTAACGTCAACTCATACTTTATTTTCAAGTTTATTTTCACATAAAAGTGTTGGTTTTAAAGAATAGTCAATGTTGATCTAAGTTACAATTGTGTAGGTTTCTGTGTGTACACTATATACTTGTTTATGGGATGGTTATGCCAACTTTTTCATAATGTCGTATCCCATCCCACTATCAATTACGTGGTTATTTCACCTTACAGGTCAATGTAAACCTGTACTCCTATCTGAGACTTCTGATGTTGCGTTCTGTCAGTTAGCCCCCTTATGACAAACTTATAATCCAACACTGTCAACTTTTGGATACGTGTCGATATGAAAACTTACTTTCCTTGAAACTATCCGACTTGTCTAAAAGTTTGATAAATGCAGTTTCAGACAGGTTCATCTCCATGGCGATCTTCTGCAGGATATCATCGTCTAGATTCTGTAGACATATTTCAGTGAAATGTATGAAAGCACCGGCATGAGGAGACAAACAGAAACTGAAACATAATATCTTAATAGGGCAAAGAACAAACTATGTCAGCGATAGTTACTTTAATGTATACCGTAGTGATAGTTCCTGCACGCATTGTTGCTGCGACAGTTACTTTCAGTGTTGCTGTGATAGTTACTTGATGTATTGTAGTGACAGTTACTTAATGTATTGTTACTTGCACCGTGTTGATGGGTGTATTATTGCAGTGATAGTCACCACACATTTATTGTCGTGTTGACTTATTTAATATACTGTGGCATTTGCACAAAATAGCAATATTACAGTGGAGGAAAATATAAGCAATGTGTTATTGGTTGATTTGGAACTTTAAGGGAGGGCTTGGACCATGAAGCAATAGGTGTACAATGTTTGAAAAGCAGAATTGAGGCCGTGCTTAAGTCACACGGTGAGGGTTGTGTGACAAAGTTATTAGAGTTACTTCCCTTTAATGCTCATCCGCTCGGTTACTCGCTGGTTTCCGCAAGTGATTGAGATTAACCTGACAATCGGGGACTAGAATTGTTTTAGCAATAATGAACAGACTCTTTACAAACAAATGTCATATCCTTCTGTCTGCACGTAGCCAGTATAATACCTGTACAACATCACTGTTATCACATGAAAAGGTTGGCGGATGTGTTCTCGTTGAACTTATGCTGCTATTTGTATCGCAATAATGAGGAGAAACTTACAACTTGGGACGGCAAGGGACAGACGGCAGCCGGGTTGCCTTTGAAGGGGACGTCAGTGAAGGCATCGACTGTGTAGAGGTAGAGGGTGACGCCGGCCATGTTCAGGGTTGTACACAACAGAGGTCGAAGGCTGGGTTGTGTGTGCACATGTGTATGGCCTGACCTATTTTATCCTGGATGGGCCACATCTTGAAGTCCCATTCTAATCAGTGATAGTATCAATGTCATCAACTTATTTAAGGCATTTGCAGCTAGTCCTGCCTAAATGAGGTAAAAATATGTTTAATTGTCAGTTTTATTCAGTTCAAATTTGTATTGAACTTGATGCATTGAGGTCTGATGCATTGCAACTGAATTAAAAATATGATTATTGGTCAGAAGTGTGGTAATATTAAATTATTTTCCTCAGATCATCAATTCTTTTAATCATATCGCAAATGTTGCTGATAACTAATATTTAAATAATATCTTGAAAAAAATACTGATATACTTTGCACTTCAACATCATTAAATGAATACCGATATCATGAAATGTATTAAAAATTAGTCATCAAAGTAATATATGAGAAAACGGCATTTCGTGTGGCAGCTAAGGCACGTAATGACGCCGAGGCGTCTATTTAGCTCACCTAGTCGAACTTGCCCGTTAAGATCCGGTTTAGAATTGTTCTTCAGTAACCCATGCTTGTCGTAAGAGGCGACAGGGGCGGTGGGGTTGCCTAATGGTTTAAGCGTTGGCTCGTCACGCCGAATACCCGGGTTCGAATCCCCACTTGGGTACAATGTGTGAAGCCCATTTCTGGTGCCCCCCGCCGTGATGTTGCTAGAATATTGCTAAAAGCGGCGTAAAACCATACTCAGTCAGTCAGTCGTAAGAGGCGACAAACGGGATCGGGTGGTCAGGCTCGCTCACTGGGTTGACACATGTCATCGTAACCCAATTGTGTCTGGTCCAGACACACTTATTTATAGACCGCCGCCATATAGCTGGAATGATGCTGAGTGTGGCGTAAAACTAAACTCACTCACTCCTTGCTGTCTTGTTATATGTCATTTCAGACAGCATGTCTCTTTTCTTTCTTTAACACACATCATTACCCTGCTGTCCTTTGGATTCGAATACACTGGGCGGTGGGTAGCCTTGTGAATAAGGCGTTCGATTCATTCGTCACACAGAAGACCAGGGTTCGATACTCCACATGGGTACAATGGGTGAAATTACAAACATGAACGTGATAATTTAAGAACATGACATGGTGAAACGAAGTTTTTTAGTGGGAGACAGCCATATGAATTATCATATTGGAATATTATTGGATGATGAAATTTTGATAATACATTTAAATAAATACAATACACAATCTTCTTTGTGTGTTTATCGGAATGGCAAGCAACAGTAACACCATCCCTTCCCTCCCCTTATCGATCAACCTTAGATTTTTTTATCACTGAAAGATAGCCCAAGGTTGAGTCGATTGTCCGATACCGACAGTCATTAATATTTGACTTTGAATGAATATCAAACAGTATTAATAGCACCAGATGTTCGCGAAAATGTGATTGTATACCCTGACCCAATTCAAAATATTGACTTGCATCGGAAATCCGTTCTGTCACTTATGTTTCCAATTTGGAAAGAACCCCATGTGTCTTCCATAGAACCTTTTGAAACCGTTATCAAGGTCCTGAATACAGTCACCTTAAACCAACAACTGGTGAGCGAAAGTCGTACGACATTCTTAGAAATCTTGCTGGAAAGAACAAGCTCGGTCGTATCTCAAAAGTTTTGAAATGTAAATACCAAAGCCTAGAACTGTTGCAGTATTGCGGAAAATATTGGAACAAACGGGAAGTTGACTGTCGGAAAGTTGAAGCCATTCTCCTCGCACAGCCTTGTGGAGAGCTTTATTGTGGCTCCGAATCCTTATGCACAGATCTAAATATTAAATACATGAAGAGACCTAGCAGTTCTCCTTAATATTACGTTTAGGTGGGTAAGTCAGTGGTAGTGAATTTGCTATTTGATTGTCATTGAACGATAACTTGTCGAGTTAAACCTCCTGGCCAAATTTTCTTGTTTTTATATTGGCAACCTGAGCAGAAATTCTGAATCGTCTGCACAGAAAACAGATCCGAACGGAGGGAGCATACATGGTGTCCATGGGGATGCCTATTGTTTGCCTAAATATTTTACCCACAAACTTCACGTAGATGCTGTCAATGCGGAAGTCCAGCAGTTTTAGTCAGTACAAAAGATATTTGCTTTCATTTTTGACAAATTGTCCTGAACCTCTAAAGATGTTAGTATATCTTTTTTCACCACGTTATTAACAAGTGTCCAATGGGTAAATGAAGTTAACTATGCCATACTGGATCGTGGTCTGGGAAGTTGAAAAATGACAAGTTTTGACAAAACTGAATGTTTGTGAAATAATAAACATTCAAGCAAATGATTTGAAGTTTTGAGAACCCACATGGTATTTATTCCACTTGTCTTAAATGTCCTTCCGGGAAAGTGTTCAGGATTATGCTTAATTTTGAGACAGTGACCAAGCAAGGCCGATCATTGTAAGGATTCGTATGGAGACATGGAATCCACTACAAAGACGAATGGACATGTCTTCAGATTCTATTATCAACTGAACGATATTGATGACATTAAATGTGTAGGAATCTAGGGATAGGGTGGGGAACGATGGATGTATGGAAATGGTTGGGAACGATGGATGTGAGGTTAAGGAGGGTAACGACGGGTGCAGGGAGCAAATGTGTAACTATGGATGTAGGAATAAGGTTGGGACGACGGATGTAAGGATAGGGTGGCGGGCGATGGATGTAAGGATAGGGTGGCGGCCGATGGATGTAAGGGTCGGGGCGATGAATGTAGGAATAAAGAGGGGAACGATGGATTTGGGGAGAAAATGGAGAACGATGGATGGAGGGATAAGGTGGGGAAAGATGCGAGCTGTCTATGTGAGAGTGGGTACAATAGTTGGAGTAGATATAGTGAAATGGATGTGTGTGTACGTGTATATGGGTGGGTATAAGTATGGATACATGCTGATTTGTCTGAGAGCCTGTTCGTGCATTGATGTTATTTTCTTCAGTGCTTCCTTTTTATCTATACGCAAAGAAAAATGTTAAGCACCCCCTGATATTTTTTATGACTGTTTCCCCTCATTATTTGAAAAAGTGATACAAGGTATAATTATGGGAAGAGTAGAGTTTACGCGAGACGATATAACCAGTGATGCGTGACAATCGCGCTCGTGTCGCTTATGGCATGCACGTGCAACATGCTACCCTCGAGGATCACACAAAGCAGTATGGCTCAACTGTATTTGTGGGCATTTAACGTTGGCTGAAACGGCCATTCAAGCATATTCATTGAATATGGCACGGAGACGATTATCAATCGACACTAGGAATCGGATTATTGGTATGCATACCGCGGGGATGTCCATTAAGGCGATTGGACGAAATCTGGGTTACCATTACACCGTTGTTAGCCGTTTAGTCCAGAAACATGCGCAGTGCAATGGGCCGTCCAATGTCTGGAAGACCTCCTGTCACTACACCGCGTGAACACAGACAACTGATACGACATGCACGCCAGTCAGAAATCGTCTCAAAGCGGCAGGATTGAAGGCCAGAAGAGTCATTAAACGTCCCTTGTTAAGAGACCACCATAAACGTACACCTTTGGCATGGTGCTTGGCCAGACGACACTGGAATCTGAGGACCTGGAGGAAAATCCATTGGTCAGACGAAATCCGCTTCTTACTTCATGTTACTGATAGACGTACACATGTTTGGAGGCATAAGAACACAGCTTATACCCCCAGGAACATTCTGCCAACTGTTGCCTATGGAGGAGGATCTGCCTGGTGTGGGGATGCCTCTCTCACGATTGCAAGCTGGATTTGGTCACCATCAGGGGCAACTTAACGGGAGCTCAATACATCCGGAACGTCCTCCAGCCAGTCGTTGTCCCTCATTTCGACAACGATCCACTTGCTACACGACCTCAGTACATGGATGACAACGCTAAGCCTCATCGATCACGTGCCGTAGTGGATTACATGAGGACCAATGCAGTGACAACTCTACCCTGGCCAGCGTTAAGCCCAGATCTGAACCCTCTGGAGCATGTGTGTCGTAGTCTTGCAATACTGTATCCCATTCGCGATTGAGAACCCTGGGCTGTTAAAACGAATTAACTGTACAATAAACTTCAAAACTTTAAAGTGTACGAACGTGCAGCAACCGGAACTGGATCCAGATAATAATACATTCCGGAAGTCACGTGACTGGGAATGAATACCAAGGAGGCCACACCTCCTACAAAACGTCGTGATAAGAATGAAGCCAAATCCTAATTATAACTTACAGTGAAGTACGTATGTCTCGGCTTTAGACGATTCCAATAATCCCCTGTGGAAGAAACCCTTAGCAGAGACTGTAACTTGGAAATGTAAACATAGCAGGTCGGAATAACTGGATCGTAAATACACTGTGAACTGTAATATTTCATACTGACGATAAATCACTCGCGACTTGTGATTGATGACTGTGACTGTAACCTGTACATTTGAATCATACGATCCTGGGATATTCCGTCGGAATGAATCCGGATCGACTGTCGGATTCTCGGAACTGTCAGACGAAATCCGGATGTCAAAAAAGTTGAAAATAATCCCCTAAAATTCACTTATCCACAACTAGATACTTAGAGAGCGGACCAAGTGTTAAATAATAGCCTTGTTAATTAAAAGTTATACAATAAAAATGTCTTATAATGTAAAAATGAGAAATTAGCTGTGACGTACCCTGGAACCCTACCTTGCTTGTCAAAGTCAAAATTGCCGCAACGACGCTGACCGTGACAGCTCTATTTATAGGTGACCTAGGGTCACATGATACACAAACGTGACGTCAGCATATCCAAGATGGCGACTGTAAACATAACTGACGTTACTTATGCTGGAATTTACCGGTACTGTTAACAATTCAGTTAGTCGCCATGTGAATGAACCGATGTGAAACCACAAGAAACTGCTGGGAATGTCACAGAAAAACTCACTGTACGTAACATTCTTCAATACCATTCACATAGATATGCCTTTCAAATAAATAGCAATGAAAATTTTATGGTGACATC